ATTCATCTCTAATGAATTTGTTGTAAGAGCAACCTGGTAATACTGTTGGAATATTTTCCTCCTTTATGCTGATTGACCAGAATTTAACCAGATGGAAGAGAGTATGGGTGATTTATTTGATTTTTACAGTTAGAGAGGAGTGTGCCTTTTTGGGGGACTGCAGGGCAGAAAGCTATTCCTGTTGCCACTTAGAGGCAGGTAAGGAATATTACAACCTGGGAGTGATCTAGCTGGAGAGAATAATAATTTGTCTCACTCACCACTTCAGTCAAGTCCCTGACTGGAGTTTGTTCAGATGCAGAAAATGCAGATTAACCCTCCAAGCCCAAGTGTCATTTTGGATTTGCTGGCTCTGCATGCAGACATCATTTCAAACCTCCAGAAATAGCCAGAAGTGGGTTGGCCAGGGTGAGCATTGGCTCGTGGAGGGTTTGCTTCCAGGTATTCTTCCATCTAATCTGAGAATATGTCTCTTTAGTCTTTGGTGGGTCTAGGATTCTGGTTAAATAAGAGTACAGATCTTGTGCTTTTAAGATTACTGTCAGGCTGGAGAGGAGGCAGCAGAAGGAGACAGAAGATGTTAACTAAACTGGCAGCTACTTTCCAACAGGTGGCTATGATGATATCTGCTTTCCTAGTTTTGTTTTAATTCTAATAGGCAAGTGTAGTTTTTTGTTATTTGGTACAGAGTGTGCAGTTCCAATCCATTAGCATTTTGGGGAATTGTTTCTTTCCTGTGGCTGATCTGGGATATTTTAAAATATTTTATGGCATAGATGAATTGCGCAGAGTTGCTTTGCACGCCCTGCAGACATACGCTGTTTTATTTTCAGCAGTGTTTTTCTAAAAATACTTAATTGTTTAGCAAGTTCAGCTGCAAGAAGGGTTTATTCTATCAGCTATATTTATGCATCCTGAAGTCAGATATCATAGAATCATAGAATCTCTATGTTGGAAGGGACCTTTAATGTCACTGAGTCTAACCATCAACCTTACACTGCCAAAACCACCACTAAACCATGTCTCTTAGCATCATGTCTACCCATCTTATAAATACCTCCAGGGATGGTGAGTCTTTGCACAATGAGTTTAGTGATAGTTGGTAAACACTTGTAAGCAACAGTAGATTGAAATGAGGCAGGAAGCCCATCAAAAAACCAGCAGCAAATTAAAGGGAGGAGTGAAATAAGTCACAAACTAAAATTTACGATAGATGTCTCAAAAATATGTTTTGAAAATGAAACATATTTTTAGAAAAAATAACATAGTATGGAATGTATATGAAATTTTGAAGCCAAATTGCTGAAAACAGGCTTGTTGATGTTCACAACAAAGCAATCATCTCACAGTTCCTCTTTGCATCTGCTCTGCACGTGAGCCAGTACCTGCAGGAAAGGAGTCTGGAGTGCAAAATCCAGTTTCAGAGCATTGCAGTTGTACATATCAGCTACTAACTTACAGGGAGAAACGTGTTACCATCAAATTTCATGACCACCTCTTCCCTTACCTGCCTTTGCTTCAGCAGTCATCCTCAATCTGCAGCCTCACGCTGTCCTTGAGCAGTGCCCAGGGAAGGCACTTGCTCAGAGTGGCCCTGGGAATGCTCTGCCTGAGCTGGACAACTTTGTTTTTCAGGGTGCTACAACATTTCAGGCCATTGGCTTCAAAAAAGTTTCCATGATCTGCATCGAATGTCCAACAGGCGTTCTATTGCAAATCAATTTATTATCCATTTAAAAAAAAAAAAAAAAAAGGAAATAATACTTTATTGAAACAACATATTGAGGTTACATCAAAAAGTCAAATAAATACATTAAAGAATAAGTTACATTACACCCTCATTTGCAACACACTTCTACATATAGGCACACATAAGTGTGGAGCAGTTTTAAGGATTACAATGCAAATGCAGGAATGGGGAACAGTGCAGCTTCTCTTTGTATAGTCTAAAAGTGAGGAGGTAGGGCAGTGAGTGTGACAGAGATAAAAAAGTGGGAGATAAACCTTCATTTTTTATTAGAGATGTGAACAAAGTTCAGAAGATAATAATTTTAGAGAGAACTTGCATGGCCTTCAGTTCTTCCCTCATAAAAATAAATTTTTACTGCGTGCTTCCTCAGAATGCCCACCAGCAGGGTGGCTGAGCAATAATACTTTGTAAATAATGGAATTTCTCACTCTTATCAAGTATGTTAGAGCGACTTATGAAAGCTTTCATCAAATACATCTTATTGCCAACGTTCCGTGTGAGCTTATGCAAAATATACATAATGAACAAAAAATGTAGTGAATGGTACATATTATTTTGTTTGGTAACATCCCATTAGATAAAAGACCTCAGCTGATATGTGTTCAAAAGGCAAAAGAACAAAACAAATCTGTTTACCAGAGTCCAGATGTTAATTTAGCTGTTGTTTGTATTCACATCTGTAGCATTTACATGGCAAGAAAGCACCAAAGAATTTTAAAACTTGGCTTATTAGTTGCAATTATGCAGTTGCAAATCTAGTAGGAGTATAATATCTATTATTAACATGGAAATATGTAAAACAGTGATTTTCAGCTTACGTTTTGTTTGTAGGATGATGTTACTAATCTGCTAGACAGAGTTAGCAATCCCTTTTCAAAACTGGAAGTCAAAAGAGAATTTTGTTTAACTTGGCTCTGCTGTTGATATTGTTGACTAGAAAGTCACAAAACGGTGCCACACATTGAGTTGCTGTTATTAGCTCTGGGTACCACGTAGACTGCTAGAAATAGATAAAATGCAAAAAGATTTATAGATTCTATTTGATTCAGATCAGCATCCAAAAACTTTTAGGGTGGATACTGGGATGGACTCATGAAGAGGCCGGTATAATTCAGATGATGTGAAGGGTCCAGACTGTGTACTTGCAGGGGCTGAAAGAGGTTTCCAGGGTATCTAAAAACAACTAAAGATTGCTTGAAACAGTTGTTTTCACTATTGAAGGTTCCACTGTGCTTGGCCAAAGTGTATCCTCGACATAAGGATACTGAAAATGTGGTGTCATCATTTGCATTTTGCACCATGTCAGTGTTGGCTACGTGGCTGACCATTGCAGAGGACAATCGTAGACAAACCTGGAAAGCAATGAATCGGGGTTGTCCCAATTGACTAAGCATGTCTTGGAAAAGAAGGAGCTAATCACAGCTGTGAACAGCACTACTCAGAACAGGGCAGGATATCTGCTTCAGAAATGTGCTTGTTACGTTGCTCCAGTTTTTTTCTTCTCCAGCTGTGAAAGACACTGAAAGTCCTTCACTACGTCTAAAGTTCATATGAGGTGAAATCTTATGCTCTTATATCTGGTAACCGTATACCTGTATACCTGTATATCTGTATACCTGTAACATTTGGCCAAATTCTCTTTCTACTTATGTAAAAGCTGAAGTTTTTTGTTTAGAGGATGTCAACACTTGCTGGAGACATGTTTCGTATACCTTGTAATCATCTTAGAAACCCAAAGTACATGCAGCCAAACTCAGTTTCACTGAGTGGTGAAAATAACGCCCTACAAAGTTTATGACACAGGATATTCAACTAACTTTCATATAAAAAAAGACCCCAAAACCAGTTTCAAGTCTTTCAGGAGGCTTCATAAGGACTCAATATATCTGTATTTAAGCTCAGATTGTTGCTGGTTTATTGCTATTTTTCCTTTTTCAAACTTGAATGTAAGTTATGTGCAATTTTAGTTTACGTTGAAAGCTTTTTCTTACAATTTTTTTTCTAAAATTTCTGCCATGTTCATGTTCTCTTTTTGGTCAGGGAATACACAGGATTTCAGTAAGACAAACAATTTTGAAATTCATAAGCAAATTTTTATCTTTTTTCAGTAAATAGTTTTATTATACTAAAATTACATTTTGTAACTACAGTAATAGGAAAAATTTTGAAGTTCTTTGCTACATTTTTAATTTGGCTGATGGTATTTACAGAAGAATTCATTGCAAAAGGATAAGTTTTTGACTCATTCAATTAGGATATAGGAAATTTAGTTTATTTGCACTATTAATTGTGTTACTTAAAAGTGATAGGACAAAGTGAATTGAGTTGCCTAAAATTAGACAGCTAAAACCATCTCAGATCATTTATAACCAGCCTAATTTTAAAATGAGCAAATTCCCCTAATTTCCATTGGGTTTGTAGAACATACTAATCAATTAGTATTGATGTTGTTTCACTGTGTGACCTATTTACGGTATCCTCATAAGAAAAATTTAGTCCTGACCTGGCCCTCTTATGAGACTGCATGTGTTCTCAAGCAGTTTAATTAGTATGGACACTGTCACCAATAAGCTAACTGTAAATTAGCTTGTAATTGCTTTATCTGCATATTTTCTGAATGTATTCTGAATACCAGCCCAAGTTGTACCATTTTACAATAGTAAGTCTAAAATACAGTGAATAATAAAGCTTGCAGAACATATTCAACTCTCTGATTAACTTCTAAAGAGTCAATATATCACCTGGGGATGGTGAGACCCAACATTGCCCCTAGAAGAAGCTGAGTGAAGTAATTAATGATACTGGTATATATAAACATGCGTGCACACTCCTGCTCTTAGGGCTGTGACTTGGTCTAAGTTCAGTGGAGTTTTTCTTGATTTACCTCCCTCTGCCCTGAGTTAAGTGATGTGAAGCTGTTACTTGCATTGCTCTGAAAATAAATATTGGGCTAAGGAAACATGTAAATTTTTGCTTCTCAGACTGACAGTTGCAGGGTACTGAGCTCCTTGGGCTTGTCTGCACATTTCATATTGGGCACATTTTCTTTTGCAGCCTCAGATGTGAACCTCTTCACTGCAAGCCAAATGAAAGCGGTAGGAGAACAGAGTCTACTCAAAAAGCTCACACAATATGTCTATTACTCAGAGCTATTGTTTTGCTCTACACCTGCCCATAGAAGTAAATTACAACCACTTTTCTTTTCTATACAGTGCTCTTAAATATAATTATCTCTCTTCATTTTTTATAGGGGAAATGGAGTTTTTGAACTGACTCTCAACACTTGATGCACATTTGGCCGGAGGCCAAGGTGAATCAGAATAAACATCCAGAAGAAAATGCCAAATACAAGAAAATAACAGCAACTTAATATGATTTAATACCAATAAAGTGATTAAGGTTAGTGGAAACAATCCTTGCTCTTTTCTTCTTCTAATAAATTAAAAACGATTTTATAATATATTATGGCTGGTGCAGCTCCTTCCAACTAGGGCTATCCATCACAGCCTGGATGGAACACTGCTTTTTCTCCCTATTATGGCAGCCAAACTGTTGAGGAAGGCTCGTGGCAGAGGAGAGAGGACAATGGAGATCTACATGCTCTGTTCCATAGGCTGTTCCTGCTGTTTTCTACAGTTTCCTTTGTGTTCTTTTATTGAAGCAACAAGTTCCAGCTCTGACCTGCACGGCGATGCAGCCAGCCTATCAATCCACACCTCCAAAGTGGTTTTAGGTCCATGGGATGCAAAGCTTGACCTTCAGCCATGCCTAGCAGAACTGGCCATGTAAATTGTCCTCCCATATACCATGTATGGAGACACCCTGGTGACTGAGGAGGTCTCCACCTCCACCCTGGAGGACTGGGTAGCTAGGCCAGGCCCCCAGAAGCTGCAGGAAGGGTTAAATCTCAGTAAGGTGAAGGTGCAATGCAAGTGTGTGTTTCTTATACTTGAGTTACCAGAGAAAACACAGCAAAGAACAGGTAGCAGGTTACCTCTGACTCCACCAGTGTTTATTGTCACATCCAGTCCAGCAGATGTTTTCTTGAAGCTCTCATGAGATCTTCAAAGGTGAGAAAGCCCAAGAGGCTAGAGATCATAAAATCATAGAATAGTTTGGAAGGGACAATTAAAGAGCATCTAGTCCAACCCCCCTGCAATGAACAGAGATATCTCCAACGAGATCAGGTTGCTCAGTGCTCCGTCCAACCTGACCTGGAATGTTTCCAGGGATGGGACACCCACAAGTTCTCTGGGCAACCTGGGCCAAACTTTCACCACCCTCAGCGTAAAAAATGTCTGCCTTACATCTAGTCTGTATCTTCCCTCTTTTATTTTAAAACCATTATCCCTTGTCCTATCGCAACAGACTGTACTAAAAAGTCTGCCCTCACCTTTCTTATAAGCTCCCTTTCGTTATTAAAAGATGTGATGGAGACTCTTGGCCGTGCCTCAAAAGACCCTGTTGAGAACAAGCATGTTAAGTACCTATAGGATTTGATGAGAGGACCAAATTTTAAACCTTTTTCCTGTTTACGCATTTAAAAAGACATATTACCTAACACGTTTCTCAATTAGTTGCCTCTGAAGTAATGATGCCAGTGCTGCTATAGTATCAACACTGTGAACACCATTCCACTATAATTTGCCATATCTTTAAATGGAGAATAAAATTTAAAGAATTATTTATATTGAGTTAACAAAGTGATCCCCCAAAGATACTTAAGCCTCCATTTAGCTCATCTGGCATTTAAAATAAGATGGCAGACGTTTGTGTTCACACATCTGCTGCTTGATCTTATCACCATCATCATCATCATCATCATTACCATCATCATTGTCTCACATGAACATAATTACTTTTTATGTAGTGTATAAATTTAAATACAATCTGTAATGGCATTTTAACTACTGCTGGGAAGTAAATACTTACTTTCCATAGCCTGGTTTAAATGATGTTAGCATCAGTTAAGTATGTGTAAGGCTGGGAACTGCTATTTTACAGAAGATGTATTAGAAAGGGGAAAACCAAAGAAAATTGTTGTCATTTTGCCATAGAACTAAACTTAAAACCAGTCAAACCTTAGCTGGTTTTATGTTCTGTAATGAGCAGGGAGGTCAGGCTGCATTCACTGACATTTGCAGACACCCAGCTTCCCCAATTTCTTGTTTCAGATGAAAACCACACAAAGCTGGTAACTCCTGGCATCAAGATAAACTTAAAAGTTTTGGCTCAATTCCATTTTCAAGCTTTTTCAGTGAAAGTGTGAAAATGTAAAGATGACAGAGTGTCACAAAACTGAATAAATCAAGAACAGTTATGCAGACCAGTCCTTTCAAAAATCAAGTCTGCTGCAAATGGGGCTGATGTGTATCTGGAGCAATGGAGTATGAAATAAGAGAAGAATTTCAGACGGAGCTTCCACACACAGATGTTTGCAATCACCATTTAATTAAATTAACCACAGAATAACAGAATGATATAGGGTTGGAGGGGACCTCTGGAGATTATCCAGTCCATCCCCCCTGCCAAAGCAGGTCCACCCAGAGCAGGTTGCACAAGAATATGTCCAAGAGGGTTTTGAATGTCTCCAGAGAAGGAGACTCCACCACCTCTCTGGGCAGCCTGTTCCAGGGCTCTGCTAACCTCAAAGGAAAGAAGTTCCTCCTCATGTTTAGAAGGAACTTCTTACGTTCAAGTTTGTGCCCATTTCCTCTTGTCCTGTCACTGGGCACCACTGAAAAAACACTGGCCCCATCCTCCTGACACCCACCCTTTGAGTATTTGTAGTCATTTATCAGATCCCCCCTCAGCCTTCTCTTCTCCAGACTAAAAAGTCCTGAATCCCTCAGCCTTTCCTCATAAGAGAGATGTTCTAGACCCTCAATCATCTTTGTAGCCCACCAGTTAAAACCACGTTTTAATGTGAAAAGTGAAAGAAAGCCCTCTACTATGCCTTCCCCCTATTCAGAGGCATTCTTTTTTTAAAAAAGCACCAAGATGTGTGAAATGATGCTGCCACTTGTAGATTGGAAGCACCTCACACCCTTTGCAGCAGTGCAGCCTGTCCATACTCCTGTGCTATGGGGAACCAGGGACAACATGTTCTGCAGTGGGATAGCCTATAAGGAAGATATACCTACTGCCATCTTGCTGATACTGACTGGCTGACAGCAAGACAAATCCTACACCATCTACCATCTACTCTTCAACTGAGCAGTGCAAAGCTACCGAAAAAGTCACCCAGTTTTTGGGACCATGCATTTAATGTTCTTTCCTTGCTAAAGGAAAATAGCACCAGATGCTTAGGATAAACCTGCACTGCAGCTGCGTAAGGTGGGAAGGAAGAACATTTTCCATTAAAATCCTGCTAGTAGGGAAGTGGAGGTCTTTGCTTCCAGATCTTATGGGAAGTTAGAGAAAGTATATTATGGAGGGCAACAAAACTAGTGAAGGGCCTGGAAGACAAATCATATGAAGAGCGGCTGAAGGAGCTGGGACTGTTTAGTATGAGGAAGAGGAGGCTGAGGGGAGACCTCATCACTCTCTACAACTACTTGAAAGGACACTGTAGAGAGGTTGGTGCTGGTCTCTTCTCACAGGTAATTAATGACGGAACAAGAGGGAACGGCTTCAAGCTCCAACAGGGGAGGTTTAGACTGAACATTAGGAAGGAATTTTTCACAGAAAGAGTGGTCGGGCATTGGAACAGGCTGCCCAGGGAGGTGGTTGAGTCACCATCCCTGGATGTGTTTAAGGGATGTTTAGATGGGGTACCGAGGGATATGGTGTAGGGGAGGACTTTGTAGAGTAGGGTAGATGGTTGGATCCCAAGGGTCTCTTCCAACCTGAATGATTCTATGATTCTATGAGCTACCAATGTGGTGTGGAATGATGGAAGATCAAGAGAGAAGAGTTCCTGATTTCACTTTCACTAGCTGTATTAGAAGAATGTTCCTCTTGCCTCCTTTTCCTGTGGGATTGATGGGTGTGATGTACAATGTTGGGCAGCTGGGGAAGACCAGCCCTGCATTAGGAAGTCAGAATAGTCTCAGTGCAGTTCCCAGGAGAACCCAATTTTAACAAGACTGGAAGGGAACCACGATTATCCCCTCGAACCTTCAGTGGGCAGTACCAGGTATGTCGTTAAGGAGGTTCCACAAATACTGAGGTATCCCTGCTCCGTGGAGCAGCCTCCAGAGAAAAACATCCCCTTAGGGCTACAAGGTGTGCTGCCTGTGCTCCCAGCCACAGGCTACCTCCTGCTAAAGGGCTGCTGAGAAAACTCAAGTTGGTATACATGATCTGTGCTGAAAATTGCATGGTGTTCCACCATCTCTGTGAAACAGGCTAGTAGTTCTGCAAAAGCTACAACATCACTTCACGGAGACATTTCCTATTGCTGAAATATACTTGAATTTAATGAATTTCTGAATAAAAAATTATCCGGAGAATTCAATGGATGGCACCAGGGTCAAAGCTTGGCATTCTGAATTCTCTTCTTTTTGCTTTTTATAAAAGCATGAATGAAAACATAGTTCACTTCCATCCTCTTTTGTGACTCTTGTTCTACCCACAAAAATTTTAATGTGATTATCATCACCATCAGAAAACATTTTCCACATCTTAAAATCAATTCTTTTTTGTTTGTTTCTCTTAATATCTGAAGTGGAATGTGAGTGCAAACAGATAACACCTTAGTCAGGGATTGTTTTGTTTGACCTCTGTGGAGAAAAGCAGTTTACTTTATGGCACTTATCTTGTATTAAAGAGTGAATGCTAACTTTATTTGTTTTGTTTTCTTTTGTTTTGCAGGTGAGATATCTTAGCTGCATTCCATAAAAGCACTTAAGATGGATTGCTGGAAATACATCTACAGTCTGGAATGCTTTGGAAACAAAATATTTAGCAACAAAAAAGAAAAATTGATTTTTATCTGCACCAAGGAATATTTTGAAGGCAGAAATTGTTGAAAAACTGTATAGTGAGATGTGTGGTTTGCACTGCTTTGGGGGCAGGGACAGTTCTGCTTTTGGACACCACATGGCACAAAAAAAAGTCCCTGAGAGGGCGCTCTACTGGAATGTAAAATAGGTAAAAATCCAACTCTCAGTTTACTTCCATCATTGTTCTAATTTTTTTTCAAGGATTCATCAATCATCCCCAGCCTCTGAGCAAATCCAATAAGGCACCTTTGGCACATGCAGTGTTTCTAGCGCTTGCAAAATTGTGAAGTGGGTGTTTTTCATCCTGGAGTACCATTCTTGAGTCCTGAAGTCGGACCTGTGCAGGGAAAACCTGGAGGGTGCTCAGAGACTGCTAATTTAAGTCCATCATCAGGGACCTGTTCATTAACCCATGCAGGTCCAAGTACTTCACCGGGTTCTTCAAGTTGGAGTAAGTCTACTGAGCTGATACAGACTTAAAGCAAATGGAAGATTAAAAAGGTTCAATATGCTCTTGAGATGCACATACAACCACTGCACCAAAAGTTATTTTGCTTGCTTACTTACCAACTTATTTATTTATTTTAGGTGGGATTTAACAGTAACTTTTACTTGAGCCCCTTCATGATTTACCTGTTGCGCTGTGTACCGAAAATACAGCTCTTCTATCAAGTTGCTATTCGCTTGCTTTGTTGCTTTTAGCTCCATGGGCCCCAGTGGACAAATCAGTTCATGACATTATTTCATTCTAAACATATATAAACTCCAGAAACAGGATAATTTACAGCCATTCACAATTTTGAAATGGAAATCAACAGGGAAAAGCCATAACCAGGACCTAAAGCATGATTTTCCTATTTTCTAATATTTATAAACTATATCTTAGAATTAAAATACTTTGTTTCTATGAAAAGTGGTTATGTATATTTCATTCTTTAAAGGTTTCTTAGAGAACTATGTTCATTTTCTCTATGAAATTATTGTTTTTTCAAAATTTCTTGCTTTATCATTGCATTTCTTATGCTCAGCAATAATATTATAGCTTTATATATTTTTCAATGAAAACCCTCTTGGCAGTTTCAGCTCACCTGTATTTTTATTGCTAGCTTAAATTAATTTTTCAAGTGTAGAGTTTAGCTTTTTAGAAATCCTGTACATCCTTTTCAGACAAAATCTTTGTTGAAGTTGCATGAAGCAAAGATTAGAAACCTGAGGTGTGAGATTAGCTCTGTGCATGTGTGTAACGCAGCCTCCAATCATTTTTGATGCCATGTCCTCCTGGCTATTCAGAGCACTTTTCCCACCAATACAATCTGACTTTTGATGTAATTAATATATAGTTCTTTCCCAATTTTTGTAATAAAATAAACAACTCATATTGGTTAAACATAACTCTTTGGTTGGATTCCTAAATTCTTTAAAATTCCCATTCCTAGGCCTTTCAGGAAGTTCAGCTGATGAAAAAACTCCTCTTTTTGATCCTGATCTATTTTAATTTGGGTATTATGGTAATGGGTAAGTTCTGTGCAAGCCTATCCTGTCACAATAGAAGAATTAAAAATAGCAAAGTACTATTAATTTTTAAAAAGTTTTTTTAGGCGTTTGGGACCACACAATATACGACCACAGCATGTCCGTCCCTGTTTGTAGGATAAATGGCTTTGAGAGGTGTGAATTTATTTCTGTGTATCACAACTGTTTTGGAAAGGGTTTTCAAAGACCCATGGTGGCAGTGGTGGGATACAAGGTGCCTTTGGCACTGCATCTTCACAGGCTGGGCAGAGCTATGGTGCTCATTTTGGAGAACAGTGAAGCAGCATGGACTTCCAGCTACATTTCCATGCAAGGAACTATTGAGGGTGTCAGACCAACTGCAGGTCACAGCCAAAAGAGGGAAATCTGCCCACGGACACCCATTCTGCTCCCCATTTACTCTGAGTCTTTCTGCCCACCTCTAAATGCTCCAGTTAATTGCCAACGTAGTGCTGAGCAGTGAATAACCCATGCTGGCTAAAGGGCTGCTGAGTCTTGCTTCAACTTTAGAAGAGAGAAAAGCAAGGACCAAACTATGACTCTAATGATGCCTCTTCAGAGCACCGTCCATGGGAGCTCATTTAATGCTGCTTGCTTAGGAATAACTCATGGGACAAGTGAACCTGGCTCCAAATTTGTAGTGGATATTGTGCAACAGAAAGCAAAAAGGCAAAGAGCACAAAATTTGGACCGCAAGTGTATGCATACAGTGAGACCATTTGAGGACAAAATTAGTCCCACTTTATTTAACAGAAATCCAGAAGATAAACGTGTATTGATCATCAGCCTACTGGGAGGATGAAGGCAATACCACCAATATCAAGCATTGTGCAATTGATTAGCCATAGAACCCACTTCTGTTACATGCCACTCCACCATATGAGTCAGCCCAAACCCACTCATTTTTGTATTGCCCTTTCCACGGATATTTTCATCTCTGTGTCAGTGAATTGAAGAGTTAATAAAATTTCACTGCTGGAAGAGGTCATTTTGCAACTAAATGCAGCAGTTCAAAGTGGGAAATGGAAGGAAAACCAAGGAGATGTTTAAAGAGGTGGCATTCTGGAGGCACTCCTTGAAAAACATTTGCAGAATTGTTTGATTGCTTTAGAGCATGCAGGAAACAATAAACCCAACACAGAAATAGCACTGATGCTCACAGTTGCATTCAGCTCAAACATCACCATTCCACTTGGAATTACAAATAAACCTGATACTGAATTACCTAATACCATGGAAATTTTCCTGTGTGTTTTTCATAGAAAAATGCCCCCAAAAAGGGCACTTCCTTCAGCCTAAATATGAAGAAGGTAAGACCTGAATCTGCATATTCATATTAAAACATTTGCAGGATTCACCAGCCTTAAGATCTGTGTTTAAACAGTACAGAACTCCAATTTAACTATATCTCAGACCAGCTAGATCTTACATTTTTGTCTTCTGACAGCAACTATAGAAGAGTAGAGTTAGAAACCATCAATATACATGTGTTGTTTTTATCTAAAAGAAGCATGCTGATGTAACTGGCTTTGCATGTCAATGTGTGGGCTCCAGTGTCTACCACTCAAGCACAACGTTCTCTTCACCTTCTAACTCTCAGCATGCAACATACAGAATTCAATATTTCACCCAATTATTCTTGGAAGAGCAAGAAATCATAGATATCTAACTGCATTGGAATTGACTGTGCTGCTGGAAGGAGTGTGGTTTTTTTGTTAGTCTTGTTGCCATCAATGGGTACCAATCAAATCAGATAATCTAAATAGCAGCAGAAAAAATAAAAAGTAGATGCTAGTTCTTTTCTTTTTTTATTTAATAACTCCAATTAATAAAATTCCTTAATTGTTCCTTGGCAGTCTTCTTCATTTCCCACCACACTAACAAAACCAGTAAATTACAAGCTCTGTTTTTCCTACACCCTTTACGGTGCTGCATGGATGCTATACCTTGAACTCAACAAACATATTCTGTAGGATGAGTAATGGAGGGAGGTAAATTCAATAAAAAGAAGAAAACAGAAACATGAACAAACATCAAAAAGGACTATTAAAAAAAGTAGCTGATGTGATTTCCCTCCCCCATGTTTCTCTTGGTTGGGTTTTGGTTTTAAAAGCTTAAGAGCTCTCTGTGCAACTCAGTTTTGTCTCCTGCTTGATCTTGCAGTGAGACCACGGCATCTGTGGTACTTTGAATGTTTTGCTAGAGAAACAGTGAATGCTGATATTTGAACTGAACAGCAACCCCTGTCCTCCTCCACTCCCTCAAGATCACAGATAAAATTGTTCAGCCAGCTGAACAAATTCATGTTGGTTCCTCAACATGAATTCCATCAACATTGGTGACTTACAGACAATTAACTGAACCTAAATCCTCCCTAACCTGCCCTTTTCCTACAATAGCTGTAATTTTGCCCTTTCAACATGACTGCTGGCCATGAAAACTGTTTTCAGCCAAGTAATGACTGAAAAACAAACCCCAATGCAACTCTTTTGCCAGCGAGTATATCTTTCTTTCCCCTGAGCAGTGAATCAACCCTTCCCTTCGTTTTTTGCCTCACTGCTACTACACATACAGAACAGCTTCAAGCCACCTTTTATGTCCCTGGTGACACCTGAACCTGCTTTGTGCCTTAGGACCATGACAGCAGCTTCCACCGAGTCATATCCAAGGTTCATCTGGCCTTTTATCATGTCTCCAACCAAGGCCAATACCAGCTATTTAGGAAATAGCATAAAATTTCAGAAATAACCTCCATCAGTCTGTGCTGAACCTACTACCCATGAACCGATACAATGTGTTTTAAATATTTTATCAGTTTTCTCTCTCTGGTCCTTGATTCTCCCGTGTTTTGTCAATTTGTACTCCTCCGGGATGTTCCAGCTCTTATGCCTTCTTTACACTTCTGTGTAGCAGTGTTAACCCAACTGAAGCTCCCCTTGGGATGTTGATACCATTAGATGTCATGTGCTCCCTTGTGAAAAGGTTTGGATCTGATGAGGCAACACCCTCCAAATCTCCTTCCTCTTCTCCCAAAACCCTGAGTGAAAAAGGAAAGTTGGGAAAATTAACAGTGTTTATAACTGTAATTCAGCACTGAAACAATAACTTTAATTTCTCTTTGACAGTTATCTCCATGAAGAGTAGATGCCACCTGTTTTGCAGTCAGAATGAGAGGTTTTGGCAGCCAATTTGTATTTTGTAAATCACTGCTGAAGCCACAAGGCAAGAGAATAATACATCATGCAAGTGAGGGCAGTGAGTTCAGAACAGAAATACCTGGAATAACCTTAAAGATGTTAACCCAGGTTTTGACACCAATGAGCCCAACACAGATTAATCCACCCAGCGAAGAAAGAAATTATTCTGTATTTAGCTCCATGATGCCACGACACCACAGGAAGAGATCTATGAGCAGCAAACCAGCACTGTAGCACCAGCTCACTGATCAGGGGCTGAAGAGAATGTGTGTTTAGGGAATTGGACCCACACATAGCCATCAGCCTGAGCACAGGGCTTTCGTAAGGGATGTTTACAGTTAGACACAGACAGTTCCAAGTCCCAGGATTTTCTTAAACACCCAGTAAGGTAAAAAAAAGAAAAGTTCAGTGTTGTCGTATAACTCATTCTACATCCTTGCCAGAAATAAGCAAGCAAATCCCAAAACAGCACATCTCTTCTTCTTTGATCCAAATCATGTATTCTCCAGATAAGTAAATGTTTCCTTTTTATTATTCATTCCAGCTGAATGGACTGCTTACCTGGCCAGATAAATATCTTCAAGTGGGTAAAAGCCACTTAACTATGTATCACATACTTTGGAAGGGAAAATGAAGGAAATTCCAGGAATATTGTACAGGCAGAGGTTGTGCTCCTACGGTTACCATTTTAAGGAGGATAGTTTCTGCTTGGTTTTGCATTATATCACCAGGCATCTCTGTGTGTGTGTGTGTGCACATGTAGGTATTAATAAACAGTAAATTGATACACAAGAGCACACGTGCCAGGAAAAGCATGTGTGCATATTTACATATATGCTTATTTTACATAAACTCAGTTTTTCAGAACTGGAAATAAAGAAGTTATGCGTCCTTTTTTAATTGTAGTCAGTGCAATGACCCCTCATTTGCACCTGCAGTTTTGCAGAGATAGTTGATGGAGTTTAGACCTTTACACTGGGATTAATCTCTACTAACTTGGGTTACCTAATAGTAAGGCATTATCAGTTAGAGAAATGCACCTCCAGAAATCAGACTTCAAAGAGGTGGGATCATTTATCATCTGGATGCTACACAAGCACCTTAATATCTTGCTTAAATTTGTTGTCTTACTTCAAGATAGTTAAAGTTAGAGAAAACAAATCTTTTTGCCACCTACTTGATTGCTGTCAGACAGCTCAGGAAGACCATCTGAGTATGCAAATAACTGGACAGAAAATAAAGGAGAAAGCAGGGAATATCACTTGTGTTCTGGTAAAAACATGTTAGAGAAGTGAAGAATCCCAGCAGAGCTGGATTTCCAGCCTACATTTCCAGGGATGGGGCAGCCACAGCTTCTCTGGGCAACCTGGGCCAGGCTCTCACCGCCCTCACAGCACATAGTTTTCTTCACAGTAAATCTAAATCTCCCCTCTTTCAGCTTAAAACCATTACCCCTCATACTGTTGCTCCACTCCCTGATCAAGACTCCCTCCACATCTCTCCTGTAGGCCCCTTGAAGTGCTGCAAAAATCTGCATTCAATCCCAGCTTTCCTTTACATGTTTTTATTGCCACGCCCATATTCAGACAAGAGCAAAGATGTTTGCAGATAAAAATGGCACTGTTGGTTTTAATGGGCTTAAACATCAAAACAGTAACCCGCACAAACGACTGGAATTGTTAAAATGTCCCCATTGCTGTTTGGCATCTTCAGGCTGACAGTGCTTATGGAGGAGCTAGGAAGGGTGTGAAGTTCTTAAAATCTTGAAGAATATTTTCCTTCACCAAGAACTACTTCATTAACAAAATTTTTGAATATTCTTATTGTCAATAAATAGTCTTGCTAATAGTGCTTAATATATTAAAAACACACATTAAGTGGAAGCAAACACCCTTCTCAACACTCTGTAAATTCAATTTTAATCATGTCCAAAAATACATGATCTTTTACCTAATGCTTTGACAGGTTTTCAGATGATTGAATCAAGAGAACATCCCGAGTCTCCCTTTCCAAATGGTGGAAACCTGCTGTGACAAAAACTAGTCCTGCACATCAACAACATGACCTTTGTTATATTCATCAAGAAAGCTTCAATTCCAAAGCTGTTGATCTCTTTATAAATACTGCATATACAACACAAAACAAAAATAGCTAGGCCATTACCTCATCCATGAATGATCTTTTAAGAGACACATTATTTAAAGTATCTCACCCATGGAAGAGAATTCTGTGTTTACAATCATTTATATTGCTACATAGAAAATGAAAAAAGATTTATTCTTTATCTAGGTATTTAAATCGTGCTCATCAGTGTAGGGTTACCCTTAATGACTTCAGGAGGGTTAGCTCAAATAAGAGGGAAGAATGGAGTTCTTGTTCACAGTCATTTCTGAAAGTTGGGGAGCAAAACAACGTGCAAACATGATTTTCACAAAACAGCAGAATTACAGCTTTGTTCATCTTTGGAAATTATTGCCTGGGTGATGCCGCACCTGTCTACATAACTGAGGACATGTTCCATGGCCTTTGCAAAAATCTAACATAAAAGACAATAGGAAATAAAAATGCTCATTTCACACGGAGTTGTGTATATAACTATCTTCAATCTTTATGAGAATATTCATTGCTATTTGTAGGGTTTATCTTGAAAAGCATTATTTGAGGCCTTTTTAAGATTTTTTTTTTTTTTTTTTTCTGGAAACAGACAAATGGGAAGTGTTTTAGCTGTACATGCTGTATCTCCCACTCCATTGTGGAGGGCGGCCAAAGGAATCACGAATATATAAAACAGCTGTGCCCTATTAGCAATCTGTCAGATGGTTGCGAGCAATATATTACCAGTCGCTTTGAGCAAATGCCCACACCCTCAATTCTTCACAGCAGAGTCTTGCACGCCCATTTTATGAGCAGATGTGTTATTGTAATCACACACAATGCAGCCATTGAGGAGAAAAAGAAAAAAGGGGAAAAAAAAGAAAAGAAAACAAAACAAAAACCCAACAGAAATATCATCTTTTTAGTTGGAATGGACTAGCAAGATCTGCTTCCATAATGATAATGTTTTTACATGGATCTATGGAAGTACTTGAGGAGGAATGTCTTTCCAAGAGGACTTGCCCAGGTACAGTGGTAGGAGAGACATTTAGTTTTGGAGATGGTAAATTGCAGTCTGGAGATCCTTGTTTTCTCCTGCTGTGTGTGATGGTCTCCCTTCTGGATTTAAACTGGAGTGCAGGGAGATGAATCCCACTTTGGACCCGTTGGCAGCCATGCTCCAGAGTCAGGTACAGTTGGCCACTGAGGACAAGACTCCTGGGCAGCACCAGCACCAGACAGCTGGTCACCCCGGGCTGCCCTCACCATCAAAGGCACCTTCAGACTGTGATTCATATGGCCTCTTTTAGATGCCTACCTTTGCAATGAGGAGAACTATTGCCGAGAATTATGCCCGTGTTTGGCCAAATGATCCCCACCCCTGGTTCCCCTCTGGCCAAGGTGGCATCTGACGGGTTGTGAATCTAAATACATCTATAAAGTCCCACATTTTTCAATACGACTAAATGTTTCCTACTTTAAGGACTGTGTGTTGCATATCAGCTGTGGTTCAGGCTGTGGTCTTGCTCATTTAGCTGCAGATTCCAGTAGAGCTC